TTTCTTTTCTCTAACAGTTAAAATCGGCATGACATGAAAGAGAAGCTTGGTGGTGATAGATAATAAGACTCTTGTTCTATTTGGCCCGATACTGCAAGTGTTGTGACTATTCTCCTCTAAAAAGATCCTTTTGGAGGTGTAACTGATGAATTCTTCAGATTTAGTGCTGACTATGTTCTGTCTTTCTTGACTGTATTCTTACCAAAATTAAGCACAGCTGGAAGGACTGAAAAATTGTTTGGGATCAACAGTTTAGAGAGATGTCCAGTCCTACCAGAAGATTTTCATTCCTTCCTCCTTTTCCCCCAACATACACGCACTCACAAATGTATGCCATGCGTAATACAGTTGCGAAAGGTTGAAAACGTCAGGTTCAATCGGGTCTCAAGGATCCACAGATGGTTTAAATAAAAATGTTACCTTGATAGGAATAATGAGCTGTTTTAAGGAAAATGTTGACTCTTTCATTTGAACAGGAAAAGATATCTTTTATATGTATTGCTTCAAAACACCATCTTCAGCACAAAACCTTTCACATATATCATTCAGAAAAGAGGGTTGAGGTTTTCTCACCCCACTAGCTGATGTAAATAATCCTGTTGGAAAAATGCCCATTATTGCAGTAGCGGGTCCTTTACAAATGTCTAGTGGCCTCTTTCTATTCTTAGAAGGCTAGTTTATGGTATAGCATGTATAAGGAGGGTGAAAGTTGCTCTCACCTAGCAGGAGCAGTGCACATAGTCATAATCTCTTCTTGAGCTGATCAGTACCTGTGTGCAAAGGGTACATTTGACTGGAACACATTGATCCCTTCAAACCACTAGTCTGGACCCATGACCTAGCAGGAGAGAACAGATATGGGAATGGCCTTCACTGCTCTGTCCCTGAATGCTAATGTGAGAGACCCTTAAGTGGCTGTGCATAGAAGGAAGGTCACTTGTATAGCTCAGTGTTTCTCAACTTTTTTTTTATAAAGTACCCCTTTAAAAAAATTATAAGTTCCCCAGTACATACAATTTTCAGACACACAATTTTTTTTCTACCATTGCAGTACATTTGTTTAAACAACTTAATCGTAACTGGTTGTTTGGAAGAAATAGCCTATAGGCAATAAACTAGCCATCATACTTATGACTGTGCAAAAAGTAGCAATAAAAAATTAGATGAACATAAAAAAGTCCATTTTTTTATTCATACATATACATACACACATGTATATATTTTTATATAAACATCAATGAACAGTGATCAATAAAATTACAAAAAAAATTATAATTAATTTAATGCAAAATTTGAGCTTGTTTGGATTAAATCAAATTTTCAAACCTAGGTTTCAAACTGCTGAGGGCCACAATTAAATAATTTTCTGGAGACATACTATTTCTTAATTTAGTTTTTAATTCAGTCATAGCCAAAAATCTTGCCTCACATAAATAGGCTGATGCAAATGGGAGGAATTCTGTGAAAGCCATGTTACTCAGTTGTTTATATTCACCTTTCATTTTCTGCAAGAATATGGCAACGTCACCAAGGCCCATGCCTTGCATCTTTAGTACACTATCTGCAGAAAGCTCAAAAAGTTGCTCCTTCATATCTTCTGAAATCCTTGCTTTCTCAATAGCATTGTAATTAAACGGATTCAAAATCCAAAGCTTTTGCCTGTGTTCATCTGCATCAAAGTTTGGAAAATATTGTTCAAAATTTAATTCCAAATTTGTCAAATGTTCCTTTATTGATGTTCTGACATGTTCATACAAAATAATTTCATTTTTCACAGAAAATTTCGGAACATATTGAAATGACACAAATTTCCAAGCATTATTTTTCCAGAATGCGATTTTTTTCTTGAATGTTTGTACTTTATCATGCAAGGTTAATATATTTGTATTAAAACCTTGTAACTGTAGGTTCAAGTTATTGATTTTATCAAATGTGTCACAAAGGGAGGCTAATCTGCAAATCCATAATTCATCTTGAAAATATTGTACTAACTCAGATTTGATTTCTGTGAGAAAAACTGCAACTTCAGCCTTTACCTCAAATAGATGGTTGAACAATCTGCCACATGACAACCATTGAATATTGGAATGAAGTAATACAGTAATATGTTCAGATCTCATATCACGGCATAGCAATAGAAAAAAACCATGAATTTAGAGCACGTGACTTTATGAGGTTAACTGTCTTCTCTGCAATCTCAAGCACAGCGTTTAAATCTTCATTCAGCTGTTTTGAAGCCAATATTTCTATGTGAATGATACGAGTCCACTTTATGGAAGAGTTCATAGTTTTTAATCGAGCAATAAGACTATTTTGTTGACCTACCACTGCTCCATACACAGATATGCACCGCTCCCATGATAATCCATGTTTCAAAATCTGTTCATTTAACAAGTTAAAAATTTCTTCCCCCATTGTTTTAGTGTCGAATTCTTTACCGCTGGCTGGGTATGTCTATACTTGCACCCTCTTTCGATAGGGGGATGCAAATGAAGACAATCAAAATTGCAAATGAAGCCAGGATTTACATATCCTGCACTTAATTTGCATAATCGCATTATGGCGCTATTTCAAAATAACAAATGCAGTGTAGATGTGGCTACTTCGGGAGGATACTCTTTCCTCAAAATAACCCTTATTCCTCATAAAATGAGGTTTAACAGTTATTTCAGAAGAAGGGTATTCTCCCGAAATAACTGCATCTACACCTCGTTTGTTATTTTGAAATAGCGCCATAACGCGATTATGCAAATGAAGCGTGGGATATGTAAATCCTGGCTTCATTTGATATTTCAATTTGCATCCCTCTATTGAAAGAGGGTGCAAGTGTAGACATACCCTATATTTGATCATTTATTCCTTTTTCATTTTCATTGTTAATGTATCTGACAAACACCATTAATTGTGCACAATTGAAAATACCTGTTGATTCATCAAGTTGTAAAGTGAACTGTTTCTTCTGAATAATTTTTTCAGTAATTTGTTTTATTATGTCTTCTGCATTCTTGTCAATTCTTATTATTGTATAGCTCAAATGTGGGATATTTTTAATTTTGACAATTTCTATTTCACTAAACATAATTTTTTCATAGCAGCACTAGATATATTGATACCTTCACATTTTCTTGTAAAATATTTAATTGATTTATCTTTTAATATAGGATGCTTTGTATTAAGGTGTTGTTTCAAAAGAGACGGTTTCACACCGTGGTTAAATAAAGTCTCACAGCAAATCATGCATAGTGGCAAATGGGGTCCACTTCCATTTGTAGTAAACCTTAATTTAAAATATTCGGAATTGTAACTGCATTTTTTTCTTATCTCAGAAGAATTTCCACTTCCACCACTGGTGCCTGATATTTTCACTACAGGTTTTCCCACCTCAAATATTTCTGACACGGTTTCCTGTGTACTACATTCTTCCACATCTGCATTTTTATTCTTTGTTTTCACGAGAAATCGGTCCAAATTTGAATCCTTCAGCTGTAATTATAAAAAACTAAACTAAAATTGTACTAATAGAAATTTTATCACTTACTTCAGATAGCAACAAGTGTAATAAGCAACTGTATACGTACGTCTGCTATGAATGCTGGCAGTTACTGATGCTACCGAGTAGCAAGGTATGCCAAAGATGAACGAAGTTTGCCAATAATATACCACTCGTCACCCCTCAGCAGATTCTGTAACGCCATCTAACCTCGTCTATGTTACATACAAATCCTTTACTGGAACTATTGACCTACTTGAAATCTGTGTTTATTAGAAGCAAAATGGCTGCGCCTATGTACATTTTGTGTAACATGTAACATCTCAATGTTATCCAAGGCGATGGCAGTGTAAGGAGCCACTGTTAAACATCACAAAATTCAAACACTCATCAAACAGTGCCATCTAGTAAACAAACGGACTTGAGAGTGTTGCCCTAAATGCAATGGTAAAATGGTCTTCTGGCAAAGAATTGTAAGGCAGAGGTGCATATCATTCTACATAATACAGCTGAGGAATTGAAGGAGTTCACAGATTTGACTGAGGTTTGCCGATTGATAACAGACAAGTAGCTGGGAGGGTGATTAAATTTTTGGGTGTAAAAAGTACAAAAATAATAAAGTGCTGTAAAACTTAAAACAAAAATTCAGTTTTCTCTAAAGTTCAGTTGTGTTGATGTACCTCCCCCCCCAGACTTCTCTTGAGTACCCCTAAGCGTACTCATACCACTGGTTGAGAAACACTGGTATAGCTCTCTTGGCCCCCTATGGTGCTGGATGAGCCATCTCAGTCTGGTCTGTAGTATTTTGTTGGATGTGGCTGTTTCAGGGTTTAACTTTGAAGATTTGTTTGCCATTCTCTAGAGAATCAAGTCCATGCAGAAAGATTTTTGCATAGTTAACCATTAAACATACATAATTTCATGCACTGCTCTGAATTGATTCCTTTTGTTTATTTTATGGAAATGTTTCCGTTTTTAAAAATTGTTTCCTTTAGTGACATGCTTTGATTGGGATTGTTATATGGAATTATGCCATTAAATGCCAGTTATTCCAGAAGTTAATGATCTGTGTAATCACAGCACAGGCTATAAATAAAAGTAGTTTTAATGCATATAAATGTTTCATGGGTCTGTGTTACAGAATGTTCAATATGTGCAGTTGGTTTAAAAAATTTGCCCACCAGAAGAACCTCATTATGACACAGTAGCTTACTGTCCTGTGGGTTAGCAGATAAGACTTTTTTAGTATGCTATATTAACATCATGTGAGCACACTGATCTTTGTAACTGTTTATAGATGGAAATGATGAAAATACTCAAGATTTTACATTTAAATAGGAAAAGACCTGCAGAATACTTATAAACAGACAAAAGTGTCATCTTAAAACCCTCTTATTTTATACAAGTACTTTACAATTTGTGATATGTATTCTGCTTTCTTATGTGAGTTGGTAGAAGGTCACCAACCCTATTTCTCTCAGTTGATGTTTTTCTGTTCGTCTAGACATTTACCCAGCATTTCTCAAGGCAACAGCTGAGCATTATTATCTCAGACCTCTGTATTTAATCTGATATTTCATAAAAGCATTGTGGTGAATGAAAATATATAATGGAAGATAAGAGAATTTTCCCACTAAAGATGCAGCTAAATGGTAAGGGCCAGATGCTGTTCTGGTATAAATCTGTCTAATGTGCACTTATTTCAATCGTACTACATTGCTTTATATCTGACACTCATATGTTTAAGGCCAGTTATTTTTTTAAAAACGTATATGATCACACCGTGTGCTTTTGAAAGGAAAAAGCTGTGCAGAAAATCTCATGGGGTTGATAAAGAATGTGAAGGTGAAGTGTGGAGCCTTGCAGAATGAGTAAGTGATTGGGTCTTAGAACACTATGGATCTCTCAGATCTGCAGGGAACTCAAAGAAGTCCTTCTATGAGGTTACTCCTCCATGACACTCCTTGGCTACGACTAGACTGGCATGATTTTCCGCAAATGCTTTTAACGGAAAACTTTTCCGTTAAAAGCATTTGCAGAATAGAGCGTCTAGATTGGCACGGACGCTTTTCCGCAAGAGCACTTTTTGCGGAAAAGCATCTGTGCCAATCTAGACGCGCTTTTGCGCAAAAAAGCCCCGATCGCCATTTTCGCGATCAGGGTTTTTTTGCGCAAAACAAATCTGAGCTGTCTACACTGGCCCTTTTGCGCAAAAGCTTTTGCACAAAAGGACTTTTGCCCGAATGGGAGCAGTATAGTATTTCCGCAAGAAGCACTGATTTCTTATATGAGATCGTCAGTGTTCTTGCGGAAATTCAAGCGGCCAGTGTAGACAGCTGGCAAGTTTTTCCGCAAAAGCAGTTGCTTTTGAGGAAAAACTTGCCAGTCTAGACACAGCCCTGGGGTCTTGCATATATTTAACAGCATAACTAGCTCACCCTCACCACACCTGTACTCTTCCATTTCATACTGTTGGCCAAAGATGCAGGTAGGAGGTAATGCTGGTCTTACTAACATTAACTCCTAGGTTGTTCGCCAAGTGAAAATCTGTGGAGTCCCCAAGCATGAATACCCAGCTGAGCAAGTATCCCCTGCCTCTGGTTCTTCTCACATAAATGTTGTGTAATATTAGAACTAACTATGGCCTTCTGGGTACAAAGGAAGCTGCCATGGAACCACCATTTCAGTTCTTCTCTTCTTTATGCCTGATCCTCTCACACATCTTGCTTCTGTCCATCACTCAGAACTGAGGAAAACTCTACACACCAGCATTATGTATAACATAGTGCTCATCTATACTACAAGCCTTTATTTTGAAATAATGTCAAGCTGGAGGACTTCTTTCTCCAACTCGTGGTAATCCTCATTTCATGAGAAGTGAAGGAAGTCAAAGGAAGAGTGATCTACCTTTGACTTCCTGCTGTGTAGACAGCTCCAAAAGCCAAGTAAAGCTATTTCGACTTAAGCCATGCAATTGATGTAGCTGAAGTTGCATAGCTTAATTCGACTTTAGCCTGGCTGTGTAGATGTACCCTCAGAGCCCTTGAACAATGGTAACAGTGAAAACAACAGGGAAATAGGACGGATACTATCATGATTTCCACTTCACAGTATTCTTATAATGTGCTGTTATTAATAATAAACAGTCTCCGCTTCCTTTCTTATACTACATACATCATGTTCTATATAGGATTTCAAGGCTTGGATCTGCCATAGAAATCTCAGAAACAGCCCATACATGACAAAATCTGAGTAAACCGAATAACTGAAAATGCAAGTGTTTTGTAAAAATCTGCTACAGAGCCAGGTGCTACCGCTATAAGAATAGCACTTAGTACCTCTCCAGAGAAAAACAGTCATATGGGCCAGGGTAGTTTTCACTACTCAGCTTTCCTCCTGTGATATTGTTATACATGAAGAATATTTAAACAGGGGTTATTGCAACTGGCAAATCATCTGCTTTAAAATGAAACGGATAACAAGGAAACTAAGGAAAGACTAAAACCATAATCTATAATCTAAAGCATCTGACATGTATTCTGTACAGAAGTTTGGTTTTACCCAGGCATAGACTCAAAGAGCTGCTTTCACAAATCAGAAAAATTTATTAAACTAAAAACAGTTTAAGTTATAAATGCTTTTGTTTTTCTGGCAGGATCAAATCACTTAGAAATCCTTCCATAATATAAATAACAACTTCTGATTCTGAAATTATTAAACTTTGTTCCAGTGAAAATTCTAGTTTTTGTAATATGCTTTCTTATTTGCTTCATTCCGAAACTATAGGAATATGATTTGAAGTGGAATACAAACATGACACATAAAATAAGAGAGAATTCAAACAATTCATACAATTAAGGTAAAAGATGTTTTCTAGCCCTCTCAATAATTTTTTAATTTAAGATGCGAGTTTATTAAAGCCAACTTGATAAACCTTGGCAGAATATGGTTATTACTGTTTTCATAATTTTGATGGATAATACTGATGTATATTTTCTCAGGTTTTATTAATGGGCTGCATGTGGCCTATAGGCCACAGGTTGCCCACCACTGATTTAACCTCTCTGTAACTGAGTTCTTCAATCTGATCATATGAAAATAGAGCACTCTCTTTAAGTGAACATTAGGATTCCATCAGGCCATATGGTAGACAACAGACTTGTTAAAGACAAGGCCAATATTTATCTTTGGAAACAGTAATTTCTAATTTTTTCCAATACATTTATTCAAACAGAAACACTTTAGTCCTGATCCTTGGGTTTGACTGTGCTTTGCTCAGTGGAGGACCCTAATGAGAAGAAATCTCACCCTTTGTTGTCCCTGATCCTTGGAGTTGTGGGTGGCTGGTTTGCTTCCCCAGGCATAAGTTAAAATAACTTATAGCAGCATGTAATCACCACCAAGGAGCATCCACAGTTTAAAAAGTTGAACACCATCAATATGGGTTTGTCATTTGTGAGAGGAAAATGTTCAATTTTTTAAAATTATCATTAGCTACAAATCTTCCCAGATTCTATAACTGATATTCATACAATACAAATTCATGTGCGCATCTGTTCATTTGCAAAAGTAGATTTGCATCCTGTTCTCCTAAAGTGGATCTGAAGAGCTGAACCATGAAAACAACTCAGTACCTAAGAGTATTGAAACATACCTCAGTATTATGTTCAATCTGTATACAAAGAATGGATAAACCACCAATTAGCTTTATCACTTTAAAATCTATTTACTCTGGATTTGAGGTGCTGCGGGAGTCTGCCTATCTGATACTATGTCAAAACAGACTTTCACACAGTGTCAGGAATATGTCAAAGGGAAAGGTTTAATAATATAATTATTCTGAGTTCTGTGTCAGTTCATCTGTCACCAGAATGGAGATAGTGGCATAGTGCTCTGAATTCTTGATCTAGCATGTCTCTCCAGTAATCCACCTCTATCTGATGCACTCTGAAGGGAGTCATATCTAGCCTCAGTTGAAAGCTTGAGTAACCATATCCTGGGGTCTTTTGATCCCGAATGATCCCTACAAATTTGTAAAAATTTGAATTTTTGGGAAAAGACTCATTTCAGCAAATTTTTTGTTGTAACTTCTAACTTAGAAGTTGATGAGGTGATCTGATTTCTTTTACTGTTCTTCAGGATACACAGACTAGAAAAAGAAAGATGTATCTTTGTCACGAAGCAGTGTGTGACTTCAATCTATTTCCAAGATATTTAATGTACCATAATTATCTGCATTTCTAATGTTAAAGAATTTTAAAATCAACCTAAAAATTAAGATAGCTAACTGCTATCCAAGAATAGGATTCATATTTTGGGGGGAAAACAGTGGAAAAATTATTTAACAATTTAAAGCAAGCTTGTAAGCAAGCTTGTTTTTAATCATGCATTTATTTTTCATTTTGTCCAAGTGTAACTATAGCAGGACTAATTTCTGCTATTAGATGCTGGCCACCCAGAGTATTTCTTCACAAAACATTGTTTAAATTGCTATCATATGTTTTATAACAAAAATGCAAATACAACCCCAACCACAGCTGAATGGTGCTATCTGCTTATCTATGTTTGTGGACATGGTGTTTAATATATATTAAGCCAAATTCATGCTTAATGTTAACTCCATTTACTGGTTAGTGTATCAGGGTCTACAAATAATTAAACCCTTTAATAATTAAAACTTTAAAATTGCCTGAAAATGTCAGTAGCTCACAAAGCTTTCTTCTGATTAAGGCATTTTATATATTGTGTTTTCTTGCAGGAGAAAGTATTTTTTAAAACCTTCTTTTTTAATCTAGGGTTTTTGCTTTGTTTTCTATTTTTGTTTGTTTGGAATAATTATTTAGTTCTAAGTAAAAATGTAACTGTATACAGTATAGTTTTATTACTGAAGCTAAGTTTCCCTTGCTCAGTAATAACTGGACAGGTGGTGAACCACCATTTTATGAGCAGCTAAACCAGTTAGCACATCACCACTACATTCGCATTAACACTAACACTGGAATTCATTACATGGCTCAGTGTACAGAGACTTAATGCATTATTTCCCAGCAGAGTTCCCATCAGTCTGAATTCTGCTCTGACTTACAGTCTGCATGGTCCAATAAACTCAGTGGTGTTGCAAAAGGTGGCAATCAGTGCATAAGGTTGTCCTTTCAGCTTTAGAATAGATACATGAGAATAGATATATCTATGATCACTTTAAAAAAGTGAATTTGCTGTGCAGGACCATCACAAGAATTTATGGGGTTCTCCATTCACCCCCTTCTGCATGTGCCCCTCCATGTGACTTATTCCCCCCGCCTGGGGCCCCCCATGCTCTCTGCCACTTTGCATGGGACATTACCTGGAAGAGTCCAGCAGGGAGGGGGTTAAATGCCGCGCCTGAATGCTGCGCAAGCTGCTGCTCAGTTCCTAGGACTCCAAGCTCCTTGGGAATCAGAGTACTCCAGCCCCCTCTGAGCAGGAAGCTGGGCTCAGGAAGGGCAGCTAAGGGAGAGGGAAGGCAGGAGTGGGGGGAGAAGCTACTGTCTTGGGGCCTGGCAATTTAAAAGGGACCAGGGCTTCCAGCTGCTGCCACCACTATCATGGTAGCAGCTGAAGTCCTGGACCCTTTAAATTATCCCTATAGTCCTGAGCAGCATGAGTGGATGGTGCTGACGGAGTGACTGGGGAAGATTAGCACCTAGCCCCGCCCCTTTTGAGCCACTTTGCCCAGGGGCTTGGCAGTTCTGTCCATTGTTCTGGGCTCAAGCGGCCTGTGGCAGCAATCAGGTAACTACCCCTCCCCCCTCCAATGCACATGTCGTCATAATTTGGGGCACCACAGGGATGGCAGGAGTGGGTGAGCTCCCACACATGCACATGTAGGAGCCAACCCACTCTGACCTGCTGTCCTTTCTTCACTAGGCACTGGTGGGCTGGATTCAAATCAACAACCTAGAAATGAAAGGGTCTTTTTCCACACTAGCAGTCCCCTGAGCCAACCAGTCGACCTGAAGCAATGTCTTCTTCACATCTTCTTAATGTCAACAAACATGCTGTATGTGATGATTTTCCCCACTTCACTCAAGGATTTTTTCCCCACCATTATTGTCATTTGGCACTATTCCCGCTCCCCCCCCATCTTCTACCATTTCCATCTCGCTGTGCGATTGACCCAGGTCACCATTCACATCCATCTGTATAGGGTTGTCATGGGGTTACAAAACCCCCACACTGCTATACCTGCAGCAGTCTGTCTGCTGGAGGAATAAAAGATAGCTCTTTTGAGTGGCAGAGCTACAAGTGAGCACTCCAGAACTCCAGCACTGTCCTCACACATTTTTACTTTGCTTTCTTCAGGAAAAAGGTTTGAAATAGATAATATCAATCTTGTGTATACTTATTAGATGTGAACCTACTGAAGTTCCCCCTTGCTACCATCAAACTGTGACAACTCTGCAGTCTGGTTTTCCTTTGTCCTCTGAAGTCAGTGAGCCTGGTCTACACTAGGACTTTAAATAAAATTTAGCCACTTATAGGCTATTTTCTAAGTGATTCATCCACACTGCTAAACCTGTTGCATTGCCCTTAGGGGCCACCAAAGTTGATTTCTGTACTCCTGCTTTTCATCACGAGTAACTTTATTCCCAACCTTGCATAGTCGAAGCTATGCTAGTGTAGATGCAATGTTTCTGGAAATTCAATGTTATTGGCCTCTGATAGGCCTCTCGCAGCTCCCTGCTCTGACCACACAAACTTAGTTTAATCAAACAAGAAAACAAGGAAAATAACCTGATCATGTCTAAATAAAAATTCCCTATCTACTCACATATCCATACTTCAAGGTCTAGTCCATTTCTATGGCTGGTATTTTGTAGGCATGGTTTTTCTGCCGGGTACAATTCATCTTGTTTCCCCAGCTCCTGGGTTAAAAAACTCTTACCAAGAAAACAGCAAGCAGATTTTCTTTCAATTCAAATCTCAACACCTTTTTCCCATTGGTTCTCCTGGCTCCCTGCCAACCTTTTCTAGCTAGCTGAGTTTAACCCTTTGATTACTGACTGCTGGGCTGTTTAGAGAAGGACAGCACTTCTCCCATCCATCACAGATGTCCAGCAGTGCAGGGTGAAAATCAAGGAGCTGTGCCAGTCATACCATAAGGTGAAAGAAGAGAGCAGACACTCTGGGGCAGCACCTCACACATGCTGCTTCTAAGAGCAGCTAGATGCCATTCTGAGGAAGGGACAGCTCCTCCAGTGTAGTCATCAAGTCTGGACAAGACATGCCTCACATCAGCCTGCAAGAGAGCAGTGTGGTGGAGAGGCAGGGGGAGGAGGAAACTAGTCAGCTGCATATGCCTGAGAGCCAGGTGCTAGTCATGATGCTGGAACTGGTTTCCGTCTCCCAGTATGTTTCCTGGTCCATCGCCATCCTCAGGGAGGGCACTTCCAGTGAGTTCACAAACTTTTTCTAACTACAAGTGGGTTAAGCCTATGGGGTATGAGATGTGGCACACTCTCTCTCTCTGCCTACACAGTGCAAGGGGGATGCAGAACAGCTTGCTAACGTGTCTGCAAATTGAGTGGGAGAATTGTATGCACAGCGCCATGAGGCTCTCACATAGGAACTCTTTGATCCTTCTCACAAGGTTTTTGAGGAGGCTAGCCTTACGCCTGCCTCCATGGTAGGATACTTTCCCACACCAAGCCACCAGTAAGTGTTCTGGCACCATTGAACCACAAAGCAGTGCAGGATAAAGCCCAGGTTTATGGTGACATTCAGTCATCATATGCTCCCGATCACTTGGTGTGATTCGGAGAAGACTGATATCTTGCATGGCAACCTGCAGGAAGCAGGAGAGGAACCCATTAGCACTCTCCCCAGGAAACTGTATTTGCCGGACACACATCTGTGGGTAGAAAAAGAAGCACTGTCCCCAGGAGGCCCTGTATGCTGGGCCTGGTGCCAGATACAGCAAGAAGCCACCCTCTGCTGCCACCTCCCTCCCACCTGCAGGCTCCTAGCCTGGTAAGCCCCTTACCGCCTGTCTTCGGACCGAGTATGTCCTGATGCTTCCCTGAGATGTCTGGGCACATGCTATAAAGTGCCTGCTTTAAAGCAAACAGTTGGTCTTGCACAGAACACTTCTCCATTGTCTTTACACAGACCTTCGGTGTAGGCTTACAGATTAGGGGTAGGCTTCCCACAATGTACCTCCTATAATGTCAATCCTTATTTTATTTAGCAGGACCAGCAGCCAGCTCAGTGAATCCTCCACTGCTTCCAGCATTTGCCCACCTGGCTCACATTCACCAGCTCAAATGCATGTGAGAGGAGATGTTCCAGGAGTAGATGGACTTCATGCACATCCTTGTGGAGGAGATCTAGGCAGAGCGGCAGGACTGTATCTCTGAGCACTGGGAGAGGAGAGCAATCTTGGAGCAGCTCACCAGACAGCATGAGATGATGTTTGCTTCTCTGACTGCTGTCATGGATCATGTGTCATCCTGTCTCAAACAAACCACCTCACAGAATCCTGCCTGCCCCTATCACATCCCCAATCCCTCCTTCTCATGCACCGTGGCTTCTGCCCCCAGGGTCCACTGGGGCCCTAGGACATGGGGAGGGGGAGGAAGAAGGCAGTCCCACTCCCATTCCTGAGCCCCTTTCCTCTTCCAGTTCCCAGTTCTGTCCTTTCCCTGCTGTTTTCACCAAATAAAAACTCCTGTTCTTTGAGCAAAGGTCTCTTTATTACTACTGCCAGGGTAGGGTGGGGTGGAGGATTAAAGGGAAATACAGGGAATGCGGGGGCAATTTATGGAGAGCCATGGGGAAGAGTCTCAAAAGAGGCCTTGTATAAAACTGTCCTTCAAGGTGTCTCTGATTCACACTGCCCCTTGCTGTGCTCTCCTTATGGCACTGGTGTGCCGCTTCTCAAACTCTCTGCCTAGATGCTCTACCTCAGCTCTCCACCCTGCTAGAAAAGTTTCTCCTTTGTTCTCACACAGGTTATGGAGCACACAACAGGCTAACACTGTGAAGGGAATTTGCATTTGCTGAGGTCCAACTGACTCAAGAGACTCTTAAATCTCACCTTTAAACATCAAAAGTCACGTTCCACCACCATTCTGCACCTGCTCAGCCTGTTGTTGAACTCCTCTTTGCTGGGGTCCAGGCTGTCTGTGTAGGGCTTCATGAGCCATAGGAGCTAGGGGTAGATTGGGTTGCCCAGGATCTCTATTGGCATAGCCACCTCTCTGACTCTGTCTGGTCGGGGGAAAAAGTTCCAGCATGCATCTTTCGGAAGAGGTGTGAGTTCTAAAAGTTGCAGGTGTCATGCACCTTTCCTGACCATCTTATATTGATGGAGCACCATGGAGAAGCACCCTGGAGAAGTACCCCTTCCAGTTTATGTACTCTGAGACACGGTGGTTGAAGGCCAAGATGGGGATGTGTGTTCTGAGATAAACCTCTCTAACCACCTGCTGCAGAATTTTGGACCCAGATGACACCATGAGGATAGCACAGACAGCAAAGATACCCATGGTGCCTCATTCTCTAATTTGATGGCAGGCTCCCTAATGAGGACATGCTACTCTGAACAACATTTTATTCTTCCTCTCAGTGAGGACAGGGACCTTTGACGTCTCAAAATCGGTACCCAGAAATCCACCATTGTAGATTCAACCTTATCTCATAGTGCAGGTGTTCCCTAGGAGTTTTGCCACTGACTTCTATGGAAGCTTGATCAAGCCCTGAGCAACGACTGAGTAGCTGTAACACTGCCATGTGGATAGTCATGTTGTCTTTAACCCCTCCCCCACTACTTCATTCATTTAGAAAATTGGCTGAAGCCCAATGGTCAAAAGCTGTGGGGAAAAAATGTAAAGAAGGCCTTGAAAGAAGGAAAACAAAAATAACTATTTATGTCATGAAATATATGTGTAGTAATGTTTGATTTCTTATTGCTTAAATAAACTTTTTGGACTTCATTTAGCCTGGATTTAAATGCTGCCTGTTTATATAGGCTACTGACTGTTTACATAAGGTCAATACACAAGATTGGCTGTTTATATCAGACCAGCAACAAAATCCACAGTATGCTCTGTGTCTGACACAATTTGTCTGGCTTGCTTTTGCTGTGTGCTGAGTTGAACAGATACAAAAATTAAACTCTAATAATAAGCTAACAAGTAACAAATCTTTTTGTGATAGAATACTTGCATAAGAAATCTCCAGTAACATAACTCTGTCACTTTCACAACTGTTCAGAACAATCTGTTGTACTAACAGTGTAAGATAGCATATGAATGGTAAATGTTCTCAAACAATGGAGGAGAATGAGAGTGATTCAGCTTAGCATTTGCATCCATCTGGCTGGGACAATAAGTGCCTGATTTTCATAGGGGTGGAATATTCACAGCTCTTTTGGATTGTCAGATGCAGTTGTGGGTGCAGCACATCTGAAAATCAGGATTTAGACATTTCAAGTTTAGCACCCAAAAATGGAGTCTCCTAAATTTAGTGAACTCTTTAAATTATTTTGGGCCTTAATTACTTGCTCAAGGTCACAGCTGGGATTAGGAGTTGGGTTATTGGCTCTCAGCTCTTGACACATTGTGGTATATCATCCTGTCTCCCTATGCATGCATCTGATTATTAAATAATATAGGAAACATATTTCTCTTTTACTTACCTGCCATGATCTCCATTCAGAGTGCTATGCTCCCTCTGCAATGTTTGGTGATTTTACTTGACATGTGCAGCACTTTAAGAAATGCAGCAGCCTGCACTGAGTTAGGTTTTCACATTGAACTGCAAGAGAAACTCAAACCTCTCAATGCTTGAATACAGGTCCTGAAAGGTTAAAAGCTGTTCTTTTCACCTGTGAAATGCACTTGTAATTTTTAAGTCTCCAGGTATGTGCTACTAGGGTTGTGGTGTCTCCAGTAGCTTAGTTAACTATTTTAAATTAAAAAGTATTTTAATTTATTGTCTGATTTACTAAGGCCTTAAAGCTTCATCTGCTATTGTGATGCTCCCAGTAGTTGCACTCTTAACCTGAGTGCAGATGTAGGTTACACAAGGTTGGAGCTATGATTAAACATTATATAGTGCTCATGGTGTGGCAGTAAATCTCTGTTTGTTTCATCTCCTACAAGTGCACAATGGTTAGCATATGTGCATCTCTGAGGACATGTGAGCTGATGCACAGTACTTTTCTGGGTGCTCATCAACCACTGCAGGTTTTCTTCTCATGCCTTATTGCGGCTACCAAATAGGACTAAGTAACTTGGCAGCTGGGCAGCACTATTCCCATTAATGTTCCTTTGAAGTCCTTGTCAAACTTGCATTTTTCTAACCTCTGTGCAATGTTCCACACCTGCATTATGCAGGATCAAGCCTGAATTAGGGTCAGCAGCCAGCTGAGCATGGTTCAGGAATCAGCTTCAAGTCAGTAAATAGAAACAAGACTTCTGTTTAGGTAGCTCCCTATGGGCAGGTCTACACAAAGAGGTAATGTTGACCAAAAGGACGCAACTCTAGCTACGTGAATAGCATAGATGGAGCTGACACACCTTAGGTCAAGTTGCCACAGGGTCCTCATTGTGGGGGGTTGGCAGGAAAAACTCTCCTGTTGATGAGAGAGCAATCAATGGTTGATTTAACAGGTCTTTAATAGACCCACTAAATTGACTCCTGGGGATTGATTGCCACAGTGCCAGTCTCCCAGTAACTATAGACCTGGCCTATGATTGCTCTCAGAGCAAGTGGTGACCAGCCACCTTAATGAATTGATTACATTCTGTCCAATGATTGAACAACAAGAAGCAAATGCCATTAGTGAAAGGTTAATCATCCCACATTTCCCCTGAGGTAACAACACCTGGAGTGATTTTAATGTTGTATTAAAGGTTTGACTGGACTGGATATTTCTAGGTGAAACTCGCTACTACTTTTTATAATTCAAAAACTGGGTTTGTAAATCAGGTTTTTCTAACTGTCTTTGGGCCATTTTTCATGGGGCTGCAGCTCATAGCATGAAACCCATCTGTATCTTATACCTTTGAAATCTTCTAGTTGAAAGATGAAAAAATGTTCATGGAGCAGCCAGCATAGGACACATACATGACAGTTATATAAGAAGGAAATTCTTTTGGGAACTTCAGCCTCACAGAAATAGATTCATATTTTGGCAGCATTAAGTGAACTTTTTCACATGTTAATAAATAAATGAAATAATGTTTAACTTTTTTTCACCTTTACTTTATCTTCCCACTGAATTCTTAGCAACTGTACAGTTCAGTCCTACAGTAGTCACTAGTAAAGCCCTCATCAATTTAAACAGAAACAGGATCAGACTCCATATAAAAGAGGGAGACCACAGTGTCTCATTGGCCGTCAGTAGGTTGTGAACATTCAAATGGAAGATTCTGTAAATGAAAAGGACTCTGTTGAATTGCTTTGAAGGCTAATACATTTCTAATACTTCTTTATAGACCAACAATGTGCCCAGAATAAAAGAGCTGCCTTGGGCCTGATCCTTGTAGGCAGGTGTTAAATGCCTGAAAGTCACTGGGACCCACGGACTCTCAGCTCTTTTACCATACTATACTGGTTTTCTAATGAGTTAAAATGTTTTGATAATCAAAGTACAGGCAGTCCCTGGGTTACGTACAAGATAGGGACTGTAGGTTTGTTCTTAAGTTGAATCTGTATGTAAGTCGGAACTGGCGTCCGGATTCAGCCGCTGCTGAAACTGATCAGTTTCAACACTGGGACCCACGGACTCTCAGCTCTTTTACCATACTATACTGGTTTTCTAATGAGTTAAAATGTTTTGATAATCAAAGTACAGGCAGTCCCTGGGTTACGTACAAGATAGGGACTGTAGGTTTGTTCTTAAGTTGAATCTGTATGTAAGTCGGAACTGGCGTCCGGATTCAGCCGCTGCTGAAACTGATCAGTTTCAACAGCGGCTGAATCTGGATGCCAGTTCTGACTTACATACAGATTCAACTTAAGAACCCC